CCTTGGGGTGTGCGTTCAAGGGTTTTAAGAATGCAGCACAAGATGCGGCCCACAAGCTCTGCAGTTTGAGTCAGTCTCCACATCCATCCAACAAACTCACACTTCCCTGATTCAGACATGTCCAACACTCTGTGTGACCAAAACCCAGGTGCCATCAGGAGGTCCCCACCAGTGGGGTCTTTGTTATTTCATACCATGATCCAGCCTCATCCAGCTTCCTGACCAAAAGAGCCAATGCTGTCGTCACTTAACAGAGACGTAGAGCACTCGACCATGAGAGATCTTGGTTACATAAATCGCCAACTTTGTTTTGGCCACCAAGGGCAACCCAACAATTTCGTTTACACCATGGTGGGAATCCAGCCTCTGGTCCACCTGCTGTAACATACCTGGAAGGAGCAAGCCCCACCGGCAAGCCAGGCAGCACCACAGTTTTGGTGCAGCCGGCTTCTCAGGCACAGCTAGGAACATCTAGTTTAAAAACACACTCACATGATCGCTAAGAAAATTTTGCACACACAAGGCAGAAGAGGCACACTGCAAGAGGCAGGCAATGGGTGTCAAGCTTCCGCTAGGAAAGGGGGGAGGCACTTTTAGAGCAAAAGGTGAAGGAAGGGGACTGTGACCCAAAAGGCTTAATGATCGTAGTGAAGGTTCCCTTGCTCGAAAGCCAGTCGAATCCGACTCTAGGCTTGCGGTACTCATCTCCGTTTCAAAGCTGAAGAGCCAGCACTGTCCAAAAGACGTTTCCGTGGTCCTGTGGCCGGCATGACTAAACACCAAGGCGCACGGAATACTATTACCTTCCCACCGAAGTGGTACCTATTTATCTACTTGCAATTTCTTGCTTTTGAACTGCTAGGTTGGCAGGAGCTGGAACCAGAGACGGGAGCTCACTCCGTCCATGCGGCACACTCGGGTCTCGAACTGCTGAACTACCGACCTTCCACAGCCTGCAGTTCAGCATCTTAACCACTTGAGCCGCCGCAGCTCCTAAAGATCCTAAAGAGGCCCAATTTGGCAGGACACTCCACCTGAGACGGGGGCTTCCAGGATGGTGTGTGGCTGATACTGAGCAACCCTAATATGGCGGCCTGTCTTTCACCAGCATGCCCAAGTTGATAAAGCAGTCATAAATTCAAACAAAAGGAAACAAAACCAGTCAAAGAACTCCCAGCAGCACCTACAACATAGTGACCTGTTCAGCATGGAAAGCTGCTCTGAACAAAACCGCTCTCAAAGGCCACTCAGATGGATCAGGATTCCGGACCCAGCCGATTTCTTGCAGGAGAGAGTCACGGAATTGTGGGACGATAACAGATACAGCCCTGCAACCATCGCTGATAACCGAACCGCAGAAGGCATCTGCTTGCAACAAAACACAGCCACTCGATTTCCAACTGCAGGGGAGTCCACATGGGAGACCCCACCCCCAGACCATCAGTCTGCTGCGGAAACTTGCTGGGTGACCCTGAGCCAGTCACTCAGCCTAACCTACCTCACAGGGTGGTTGTGAGGAGAGAACAGAGGACAGGAGGACAATGCAAGCCATTCTGGGTCCCCACTGAGGAGAAAGGTGCAATATAAATTGAGTACATCAAATAAAAAAATAAAAAAATACCCCTAGGCCCTGGCAGGGACACGCTTTAAAAGGGAAGTTCTTTAGAACACCAGCCCCATGACACCAGCAGCCAATGCAGCTCACAAAGGAGTGGTCATTTCGTGTTCTCTTTCCCCAGCAATGGCTCAGCCTCGCAGTTGCAAACTGAATTTGTTAACGCTTTCCTTTCCCCCCTCAAGGGAAGCCCCCTTTAAAAGTACACCACAGTAGACTAGCCAAAAGGGCACACACCGCAGTACAGTCAAATCTTCCATTTCCAGGAACGTGTATGACCCCTGCAGTCACCTTCAGGAGGCCTGCTTTGCGTGCCCCCGCCTTCTGAACCCAGGCAACCCGGGAGAGGGCAGTCCAAACAAATAGTATGAAAGCCAAGATCCGGAAGAGAAGTGAAGACAGCAAATGTCAACTTTGCAAAAGAAAGGATGAAACACTTGACCTGCAGTAAAATCGCTCAAACTGACTATAAAGAAGGTCATGGTAGAGATCCAGCTGCGATGCAGTGGAATCATTGCAAGAAGTAAGGTTTACCATCAGCCAGAAAGTATGGCTTACCATCAGCCATGGGAGCAACATCATAGAGAATAAGGGAGTAAAGATTCTTTGGGACTTCCAATTACAGATAAACACCTAGAGCGCAACACCCTTGATATCACAACTGTAGGGGAAAAAATGAGAAATAGGGTTTGGATCTTTCACACTGCAATTCAAGGAAACAGCAGAATAGGGAAGGAAGAACAGGAGAAGATCACAAAATATCAAGACCTACGAACAGAGTTAGAGAGCCTCTGGGGAGAGAACGTGACCATTGTGCCAGTTGTCACTGGAGCCCTTGGAGCAGTGTCTAGAAGTCTCAAGAAACACCTGGACATTCTGCGCATTGAGCAAATCACACCAGCTCGGCTCCAGAAGACAGCGTTGCTCGGAACTGCAAGAATCCTGCGAAGATACTTCTGCAATTGCAGAACACCATCTACCATTCAGATATCTGATTGTGACAATTCATCCTCCTCCTAAAGTACTGTACACATAACAACTGAAATCCATGGGAGACACTTCCAGCTGCTGCCTCAACCTGGGAATCTAGGGGGGAAAGAGGCTGAATCCAGAGAGAACTCTGAAGCGACAAAGCCCTTCTTTCTTGGAAGTTATGGACCATCTAGAACCAGCACTTCTGCATCACCAGAATTGGCACAGCCCAAACAGGAACATCATCTCCGGTCTAAGATCGTGCCAAAGGCAGGAAGCTTTTAAGTTAGGGAAACATCTGAGCTTGCAGGTCCCCACGCCGAAGTAGTACAGGCAAATGCAGACTCCTTCTGAACCTCCCATCCGCCTCTCTCGGGCACTTAACACAACAGGAGCACTCTCTCATCAAAGTACAAACACCAGCCAAAGACTCCCACCCCCACCCCCACGCATTTATTGCCCTTCACAACACAGCCCAGAGAAACCACTGAGGTTGGCCAGAGAGAAATGCATACAGGACTGCCAGCCTAGCACGGCAGATCTAGCGAACCTCTTGCCCTAAAGTAGTCAGAACTCTCCTGACTCCTCAGAAAAGGTCCCAGATCAAGGCCTTCCCATTAGCCTGAGCCTCAAAGACCTCAAAGGAAACCTCAGATATGCAGACGATACCACTCTAATGGCAGAAAGTGAAGAGGACCTTAAGAGCCTCTTGCTCAGAGTAAAAGAGGAGAGAGCAAAAGTGGGCTTGAAGGTCAACATCAAAAAAACTAAGATCATGGCATCCGGCCCCCTCACTCCTTGGCAAATAGAAGGGGAAGTCGTGGAAGTAGCGACAGACTTCATGTTCCTGGGATCCCAGATCACCGCAGACTGTGACAGCAGCCATGAAATTAAAAGACGCCTGCTCCTTGGGGGGAAAGCGATGGTGAACCTAAACAGCATGATAAAAAGTAGGGACATCACCCTGCCAACCTGACCACCCTGCATGGTTA